GGATCTGAATTATTAGAGCTAGGGCCTGTGTTGTTTATTCTGGTCTTGTAAGGAAAAATATTTTCAAAGTAATGTGCATCCCTAGCTTCAATTATGGTGTTGTTGGCTATCTCATTAATGTCAGAGTTGATTATTAAAAATCTATTTGCATTACTATCAGAAGCATAGCCAATAAAAATTCCATCTACAGTTTTAGGTCCAATTTTCTTTCTCTTATTCTCAGGTATTTTAACTTTTGCTAAGCACCCCCACACTTTCAGGTGATCCAAATTAGGGTTTCTATTTTTCTAAATTGTGTAAGGGGTTTTATCAGATTTCTTGAATGGAATTCTATTTAGTATATGACATGCAGTCATGAGAGCTTCTCCCCACAAATTTTTTGGCACACCAGAATTAATTAACATTGAGTTTACCATGTCCATTAGTGTTCTATTCTTTCTCTCAGCTACTCTATTAGATTGAGGTGTATATGGAGCAGTTATTTCATGAATAATTCCATTCTCTTCACAAAATTGTTTTAATTCATTAGAAGTGTACTCACCACCTCTATCTGATCTTAGTATTTTAATTTTCCTATCCAACTGATTCTCAACTTCTGCTTTGTATATTTTGAATTTGTTTATGACTTCATCTTTAGTCTTAATTAAGTAGAGGTAACAATATTTAGAGCAATCGTCTATAAAAGTTACAAAATATTTGTTACCCCCTCTAGTTGTTCTTCCTGAATCACAAACATCACTATGGATGAGTTCTAATATCTCAGAATCTCTATCAATAGTTTTAAATGGTTTCTTAGGAAGTTTGGCTTCTACACATATTTTACATTTTTCATCATCTTTTTTATTAAGCTTTGGAATTATATTGAGATGCATCAATCTTTTAATTGAATTATAATTCACATGTCCTAATCTTTGATGCCAAGTGATGGAAGGTTCAATATTCAAAGATATTGGAGATGCAAGAGTAGAATTCTTAACATTCAATTTAAAAAGACCATCACATAAGAAACCTTTTCCAATGAAGTTCAAACCCTTAGTTATTACAACTTTATTTGATTCAAAAACAAGCTTATAGCATTGTTGCACTAACAAAGATCCACTAATTAAGTTTCTCCTAATGTCTGGTACATGGTGGACATCCTGCAGGATCAAAGTCTTATCAGAAGTCAGCTTTAGGTTGATCCGACCTATTCCGGATACAGGAACCACATTATTATTTCCCATTGTCACAGTTCCTCTACTTGAGATCTGATAGGTGGAAAACAAAGATTGATTAGAGCAAACGTGAATATTAGCTCCAGTGTCAATCCACCAATCATTTGCTTGAAAGGTCATGTTTACTTCAGGAGTGAAGAGAACAGACCTGAAAGCCGCCTCAGCTGGACTGGAAGTCACCATGTTTACTTGTGACTTATTAGGTGGAGGCCCTCCCTTCCTAGGCTTGGGTGGTTCAGTTTTCTTGAAAAAGCAGTCCTTAGCAAGATGGTTGGTTCTTCCACAAACGAAGCAGGCTCGACATTCAGCTCCTTCCTTCTTTTGAAAGTGGACAGGGTTCTTATTTTGATGAAAGGTTTTCTTCTTAAATGTTTTATTTTGATTTTGGTGGAAGGGACGTTTCTTATGTTGGGGAAATGGTTTGGATTCAACATTGTTTACTTTGGGTTCTTTGGGTTCAGATTTTGTCAAATTTTTCTCCCTGAGTCTATGTTGCTCTTAAATTCTAATGGAATTCAACATTTGTTCTAGTGTAAGATCTCCTTGAGTATGGTTAAGGTTTTTGACAAAATCTGACCATGACTCAGGAAGTTTGTCTATAAGACAGGCTATCTGAAATGTTTCATCTAGGATAGATCCATTCACTTTTAATTGGTGAACTATATGTTCGAATTCATGAATTTGCTCATTCATTGGTTTAGAATCTACCATTTTAAATTTGTTAAAATCAGAAGCTTTAAATCTTTTAATTCTCATATCATCTAAACCATACTTTTTCTCTAGGGTTTCCCACAGAACTTTAGCATTAGTGATAGTATAATATATATCATATAACCTATCAGATAAAGCTCCTAAGATTCTGTGTAGACAATGATACTCTATTTCTTGAGGTGTTCTTGGGATAGGAATGGAATTTGCGGAGGAAGATGAGGAAGATTGCCTAGTAATTGGTCTAGATGAGGATGGATTATCTGGTTCTATGGCTGTTATTAGATGTAGAGTTGTTAACCAAAATCTCATTTGATTTTGCCAACGACGGAAATTGTTCCCATCAAACTTCTCTGGTTTAGCAGATATAATTTCACTTGTAGTCATAATCTGATGATGAATGAATAGTTTTGTTATTATAATGCGACAGAAATATATAAAGCATTCATTCAAATTATAATGCGACAGAAATATATAAAGCATTCATTCAACAGAATTATCATGCAGTGTAACATTTTGTTTTTAAGTATTGCAGACATCATTAACATAAAAAGCAGAATGCTAATCATGATACTATTCTAAACAACAAAATTAGTTTCTTGGATTGTTGGGAATATAAACTGTTTAGAGTATAATTAGCATAAAATGCAGTTTTAACAGAATTAGATAATGATTCAAAATAGATATAAAATTAAACTGAGTTTAGAATATAGCCTGATGGTCGAGGCGTGCAAGCACTATCCCAAGAAACTAATTGCCCCCTCTCGTACAGGGCTACGCGGCAAAAGTCCCCGGAGATACAACGACCCTCGGTCAGGCGACCACCTTCTCGTCGGCACGAGCTTCAAGAAGGCTTTGTGAATTCTTCGTGACTTTCAGGGAACCAACAAAAATATAACAATAGTAATATGAAGAGGAATGACAGAGAAGAAGAGAGAATACGTTGTGTTTTTCACACTGTCTCAAACTCTTCAGATTTAGGTCCTTTTATAGGTTTAAAACATCCGTTACTCATAAATCCGCAATTAATTTATTTTAATTACAGATTTTAATTCTCATAAAAACTATTTTTCGTTTTGATTCTGATTTAAATCTCATGAATATTACCGTTTCAAAATTTAATTCTCTTAACTGTTACAAAACGTTTATCACATGTTAATTGTTCAAAAATAAATATTACATTTTAATTATTAATAAATATTATATTTTAATTCTTCCCATCTCTTTTCCAATGTGGGACTAAAGTTTTTCTCTTTTCCTCTACAAACCCAAGTTTTAAGTTACAACTCCAACATGGGGTACAATCTACAACGACAAATTTAAATTTCCTCGTCTTTGAGTCCCTTTATTGAGGAACTGTTTCCACGAGAAAAAGATACATATAATGAATAAAATCAATTTCCTCGTTAAAGATTTATCTTTGGTGAGGAACAATTTTCTCGCTGAAAGATACTTACAATAACGAAAATAGTTTTTTTAGAACTTTTATTATATATAAATTAAATATTATTCATGTATCATTGGTGAGGAAACTGTAGTTTAGCGATGAAAAATGTATGAGATTAGGTGAGGAAAAATATCGAGTCTAAAGAGTAACAGTGAGAAAAGAATATATTCATCACAAAAAGGGTTTCATGAGAAATTATAATATTCCTCGCAGAAACTTTTCTTGACCACCCTACCGCGAGGAAATGGTGACCAAAGTTTTTTCCTCGCCAACACACTACGGCGATGAAATCTCAACTTTCAACGACAAACTTGTTCCTCGCGGATTAGCTTTTTTGTTGTAATGATATGGGCTTCTACCTCTCGTCGACAAGGCCTCGCCTGAAGTACTAGCACGGGAAGTCTCCTTGTCCTTCCTCCTCAAATCATAATTTATCAATGCATTAGTAACTTTACTATAGTTAATAGAAGATCTTCTGTTCAACAAAATGAGCACAAATATGTCATACTCCTCATCCGGTAAGGAGCCCAATAAGATAATAGTCTTGTACTCATCCGAAATCTTCTCATCAACATTCGCCAAGTCCGATAATAACTTAGTATAGTTTTTTCACATGAGCCGCTAGCGAGGTGCCTCTGGACATCTGGAATCTGAATAACCTACGTAGTAAATGCAACATGTTCTCAACACTCTTCATAATGTACTTATTGTTGAGAATTTCTCACATCTTTATCGCAGACATCACCCCAATCACATCATACTTCAGCTCCTGTTTCAAACAGGACCTGATCACCCCATAAGCGTTCCTATTCATATTTTTTCATATCGCCTCTTCATATTTTGGTGGTCTCTCGTGGACCATATTGGTCTCCTCCAAGTTCTGAGCATTAAATGCATCCTGTACGTCGCTCATCCACAAACCAAAGTTAATTTTACCGTCATATTTCACCACACTAATTTTTGTGTTCTGAAAACCAACTTGAACTGTACTCGCCATCGACTTGTTGCTTTCACCTTTTTCTCTCATTGCAAACTAACTCCAAGTTATAGAGAAAGAATCAAACTTTGATAGAAATTAAGAATTACCTAGCTGAACCCTAGATCGGATTCCAAATAGATCTCCTGTCCACACGAGGAAAGCGAAATCTCTAACAGCAACTCCTAATGCTATCTCCACTGAAGCCTAGAACTCTAAGAACCAAGCTTCACACAAGAATCTTCAACGGCAACTCCTATGCTATCTCTATTCATTCACATCTTTAACTTCACTATACCCTTAATTTGTATTTAAAAAAAAAAACCCGTAACCTCTTTGTAGCTCCGTTACATCTTAAACCCCCCTAACACGTGCTTCACCATGCACCAACACAGCCCTCGACACGACACCAAAACAACACCAAGCACCATTCCCCTCCCTCAGCTTGCCATTACGCATTAATTGCACCGCGAAACCCTCGCCCTCGACACGTGTCACCTCTCCTCAACCAGCAAACAAAGCCAACCTCTTTATACAAACGACGCTCCCCCTCCTCTCTTCGAACTCCAAGCTGCTCTCACACTAACCGAAAACGCTTTCGTGCAAGGCCAGCCAATTAAAGCAATGGGCGCGATGGGCGAATCGCTCTGAGAAAATGCGAGAGGCTCGCCGCCGCCTGATCAAATGCGGAAGAGCCTCGTCGGCCGCCGTCGAACCCGGACGAGAGCTGGAGGTCGGCGATGGCTCGGCGAGCGCTGGGCGAAGAAGCTGAAAGAGTTATCCGCTGTCATTACCCGTCCCTTTGAGGCTCATCAACGGGTTCGGGTTCGCGGCCCAGCGGCGCCCGTACCGCTCTTGGGGTTCGGATCGGTTGCGATTTCGGGGAGGTCGAGGAAGATGGAGGATGCGTTCGGTCCGGCCTCGCTTCTTTGAGCCGATCCGTGGGCAGTGGTGGCATTTCTTTGGGGTTTTCGACGGCCACGGTGGCTCTCACGTAAGGATTAGTTAATAGCCATCCTGATTGATTGATTTAAAAAAAAAAAATAGAGTTTTTTATTCTAAATATCCAGAAAATATTATTTTAGTCTCTGGTTGGAAACATTAAGCTTGACATTTTTTTTAACCGTTTCGACTTTGTAGAAGTTCGTGGTAAATTTTAGAAAACCCCCGTCACTTAAATAATTTTCCCCTCCTAAATTAATTAATTAACCGAAACGTTTATACTTTAGGTATCAACGCTGGCCAAAGAAAAGATGTGCCGCCTAATGACGGAGGAGCTGGTACGGATGGAGTCCCCAGAAAGGATGGACACGAGGGCGACGAAGTCGGCGGTGAAGCGGTGCTATGCCCGCATGGACCGCATGGACGAGCTGGCGCTGTGGACGTGCGAGTGCGGGCGGTACCTTGGCCGGATCAAGTGCTCCTGCGATCGCTCCCGGCCCACCTCCCATCTCTTGGGGTCCACCGCCGTGACCGCCGTCGTAGGGCCCCATCGGTTGATGGTTGCCAACTGTGGGGATTCTAGGGCCGTGCTCAGCCGTGCAGGAGTCGCTATACCGATGTCCTTTGATCATAAGGTAATAATTAGTAAGGGCTTCCCGTTGATATATATATATATTACTCTGTAGAAATCTTTCGTATTTTGAAATAATTAGTTTCATCCCAAAATCTTCATATTTTAAAACCAGCCTTCTAAATCTTTTTTAAGTGTTTAGAGATTATTCTATATGTAGTTAGCTGCTGGTTGAGGTTGAGGAGAAATCTCATTTTTAGGTGCCTTACAAGTTATACCTTGTGCATTCAAAACTTTTTGTTGATTTGGGTGTGATACCGAAGTCGTCGATCATAAGGTAATGATAATTATAACTAAACTGCTGTGGTAATATGCCACGTCTGCGTTTAGGGACTGTTCGGATGTTAAATGTAAAGGATAATTATAACTAAACTATAATTTCAAAGTACCTTAACTTTATCCAAATTGAGCTTTTATATGCAAAGCACCTTAACTTTATCCAAATTGTAAGTTACCACTGCAGGGTCGAAAAATTTATGATTGAATTCCTTGTTTTAAGAATGGGTTCGATCGCTTAGTACGAATCTCTTACAATCACTCACTCTCAATTACAGAGGAAGAGAAGATATATTTGACTTCTTTTTTGTTTAAAAGTGGGTTCTTGATGGCGAAAGGATGCTTCTCTCGATGCTCAAGCCAAGATTGCTTCCCGTTGACGATCAGATCAAGATCACAAAAGCTTCTGACGGTGGCTTAGATCACGAGAATGAAGATGCTGATCTCTCTTCATGTGATAGCTAAAAATCCTCACAAAGTCCCTTCTTCATAGCCGCTCATGGCTATTTATAGAGTTCGTAGCACGTAACTGACATGCTAGAATTATGGGTAGAGGGCGTAATTGCCTCCTCTAATTCAGCCCACGTTGTTAATGGGGCGTAACGTGCTCCTGAAGCTTAACCCACGTGGTTGACTAAGCCTCCAAATCCGTTACATCTGGATCTTCTACGAACGACGAGCATCACTGCTTGGCGAGTTTCGTCAGATTGGACGAGTCTCAATATGTAGCGAGGTTCGTCTCAAAGAGCACCAAGCTCTGATACCAATTGTTAGACCCTAGATGGGGGTGATTAGGGTCTAGTGCTAATCTAATCTGATTTTATACCAATTAAAACTTATTAATAATTTTTTTTGCAAGATAGATATACAATATGTTATAAGCAAGAATAAGCAATATGAACAAAGGAAAATATCCTAGCAATGAGATATACAATGAGATATATGCAAGGATATGAAACTAACTCAAGGGTAAACAATCTAAACTAGATAGTGAGTAATATAATCAAAGATACAAAGGCATAATAAGATGAACAAAAATAAGTGCACCAATGCAAACTCAAACACACAATATGTTCACGGAGTTAGGTCCCCACGACCTACGTCTCCGCTCCTCACCTCGAGGAGATCTCCACTATCACAACCCGGTTTGGAAGTCGGAACTTCTACACACTCGGTTTTCAAGCTCTCCGAAAACTCTCACAATCAATCACTATGCAATCATACTATGTACACTAAGTGTTGGTCTCTAGTCCGTGTCCTCCTCCTCAAGTGCTCGGATACAAGCTCTCCCTAGGCTCGTCAACCGACGCCACTCCTATTGGATTTGACCCCGTCTCTCACCACACACTACTCTCGGTGTACAAGTGTATTACAAGTGATACTCACACTATAAGTTCAAATACAATGTTTTATTCTCTATAATGAATAAGAACACAATGAAGCTCACTCTCACTAATTCACACACCAATACCCACTAATATGTTCTCTATAATGAATAAGAACACAATGAAGCTCACTCTCACTAATTCACACACCAATACCCACTAATATATTGTATGAAATAATCTAATTCACACACCAATACCCACTAATATATTGTATGAAATAATCTAAGCTCAATAAGGGTGTGTGTGATACATGAGAACAATAAAATTCTAACTCAATTTAATATAGTAAGATATGGATATGAAATTGACAATCAATAAGCTATATAAAAGAGTTTAGAAAAACTTCTCTACAAACACAAAGAACTAAAGAAATGATGATGATGATGAATTCCTCAATTAAAATTGAAAGCTCCTTCTTTGTGTAAAACTTCTCTTTTGAAACAAAACTTGAAACAAGGCTTTAAATATCTCTTAAACACTTATAAGCTTAATTAAATAAGTCTCTTGTTTGGTCAGAATGTTAAATGCACTGGGGTATTTATAACATCCCAAAACATCAGCAAGAACCCAAGTATAAAGACCAAAAAGCTAGAAGAAGACAAAAACTGAAAGTAGCTGTTACAGTGTTATGAGTCGACTTAGTACAATTCATGAGTCGACTCATAAGTAGCCGTTATAGGCTGAAAATCAACTTATGGGTTGACTCATAAAATTTATGAGTCAACTCATCATGCATGGGTCGACTCATAAAGTCATAGGTCGACTCAGCAGAAACAAAACTTATTTTCCAGCACAGTTTGTGAGTCGACTTATGACAGACATGAGTCGACTCAACCTGATGGGTCGACTCATGATGTTTGTGAGTCGACTCATCAAAAACAAATTTTAAACTGCGCAGCAGTTTGTGAGTCGACTCAATATTGTTCATGAGTCGACTCATAAACATTTACACAGAATTTTTTTAACTTTGAACCTTGTTAAAAAATATCAAATAAATTCTAAAAAATGTAAAACTTTAGGAATAATTTATAAACATGATATTAAACATATTTGTGAAGAAAATTTGGAAATTACATTTGCCATTTGTAAAAGATCATCGTTTTAGCAAATGTGCACATATATGTGTAAATATGTAAACATATACATTTGATTTTGATAAAGAGGTGTATTGCAAAACTTTTGTAAAACAATACAATGTAAACATAATGTTAAGTGTGTGTATAAATATATATTGAGCTTAGAGAATAACACACGATATATACAATAATACCTAAATGATTGTAAACATAGATGATCTGGATCTTTAATTCTGATATAAACCTGTAATAAGTCACAATCACTAGAAAACAAACTTAGTTATAAATTATTTGTAAAAATTATCAAAACAAAACAAGAGTATAGGCTCAAAACCAGAACCTTAACAATCTCCCCTTTTTTGATGATGACAAACAATTCATTATATAAATCATAAAATATAAACTTAATACTCATAAACAACAAACCAATATCATTTCTCCCCCTTTTGGCAACATCAAAAAGGGGAATAAAGGAGCAAGGTTCCCCCTACATTTATGCATAGGTTAGAAAAAAAATTAAACAAATAGGAGCTACGCTCCCCCTGCCAGAAAAGAAACATGAGTGAGGATATTCATATGGAACACAAACATAATAGAGCATATGATCATCATATAAGATATAAGCTCACCATCAAGTGTGAAAACACACAAGAATTTAAAAGAACCAGATTTACTAGTCTCTTACATACCAAGTTCAAACACATGTTTTCAAACCATGTCCAACATGAAGCAAATCAAGTGCAAGTTAAAATATTACATGCCAACGCCATGTCCAACATGAAGCAAATCAAGTGCAAGTTAAAATATTACATGCCAACGTAAAAATAAAAGTTTGCCAACATAACATAAACCAAAATAAAAATATTACATGCCAACGTAAAAATAAAAGTTTGCCAACATAACATAAACCAAAATATCATATTGTTCAACATAAATCAAAAAGAGCTTCAAGCATTCGATGATCCTGGACCCGAGGAAGGATGAGGTTGTTGCAAAAGGTTTACGATCTCATCAAATCTACTGTGAATGGAGGCCATGTCAACTTCTCTTTCACTCCTCAAAGAGGCTATCTCTTTCCTTAATTCCACCTGGGCCCTTTCAACCTCTCCAAGTCTCATGCTAAGATCCAAGTTCACTGTCTTCAATCCTCTGAAATCTCACTTGGTCACTATAGTATTATTCAGTCATCTGAGTGCAAAGATCTTCTATATGGCTTGGTACAGATGAATCTGAAGAGGAATGATAGTGCTCATCAGGAGGTTCATGTACGGGAGATTCAGGAAGGGGTCTACGAGCATGATGATCATGCATTGCCATTAGTGTCGCAGGAATTCTCATCCGATGAAGAGCAGTAATATCAAAGAGAGGTCGGATATCACAGGGAGTCTCATCAGATAGGTCAACAATGAAGTATTTAAAGATTTTTGTAAGGAGACCACCAAAAGGAATGAAAGTGGATAGACCAGAAGCAATGATATCAAACATAACATATCCCCATTTAACATCAATATTACCCAAAATGACATAGATGCCCCTAGTGAGATCTTGAGAATAGTGACTATAGCCCCCAGATTTTGGAATTAAATTATAAGAAATGATACGTCCAACAATGGTAGCCAAATCAGACACATTTTTAGCATGTAATGGGAGGCTTTCGCCAGGAAGAGTCATAAGGGTTTCAACACCGGGATTATCATACGAAACATCATCAAGAAAGGTGTCACCACGAGGGATGCCAATGATCTCAGATAGATGGTCAGCTGTGAAACGAATATGACGATTTTTGACACAGGAAGTGATAAATTAGGGTCTATTCTCAGGAGCAAATGATACAAGATTTGCGTAAAACACACGCATAAGATGGGGGTAAAGTTTTTCAGAGTGCTGACTAGAGACTAAATCAGCGAGTTTAGTAGCAGAGAAAAGTTATTCCAGAGAAAAATGACTAAAGTCATCGAATTTAACATATCTACCAGGAAACAATTTTAACTGACAAAGAGCATGATATTTTCAATTAAAGCAGTGCTATTTAGATATTGTTTGTAATGTACATTGCTACGCTCTGGAGGTGAAGATGCACGATCACGAGAAATAGGGGCTTTACCTTTGGAAGTTCTAGGGCGTTTGGTTGAAGTACTAGCCATAGATTGAAATAAAACCCTAGAAAAAGAAATGATAAAGGAAAAGGGATTATACTGAACAGAGGAGACCGAGGAGATTAAGTGCAGACGATGATTGAGGAGTCGACTGGCGATGATAAGTCG